ATAAAACCTCTTTTAGTTCAATCCTCTTTCTCGAAAAACGGTTGAACCTGTACTCCAGCTCCTTGAAATCTCTCTTCCACTTAAAATGCAGCCGATTCTTCCTGCTGATGAAGGGGGGGGGGGGAAAGACGTGTGGGCCTTTTAGAGTCCTTGTCTGATTTCCAAGCTCTTATACAGCTAGTCCTCCACTTACAACCGTTCCCTCAGTGACCGTTCGATGCTACATCACTGAAAAAAGTGAGTTACAACCGTTTTTCATACTTATGACCTTTGCAGCATGCCCGGGATCAAAATTCAGACGCTTGGCAACCGACTCAGACTTGTGACGGTTGCCATGTCCCGGGATCTTCTGATTAGCAAAGCCAGTGGGGAAAAGCCAGATTCACTTAACAACCGTGTTACTAACTTAACAATTGCAATGCTTCACTTAACAACGGTGGCAAGAAAGGTCACAAAATGGGTCAAAACTCCCTTAACATATGTCTCCCTTAGCAACAGAAATGTTGGGTGTCAGCGGTGGTCGCAAGTTGAGGACCACCTGTGCTGATTTTGACTCCCTCTCTCTAATAAACTCAAATCCCTCCTATACTGGATTCATCACACAGTAACCCTCCACATGCAAGCATGAAGCTTTTTCCCAAAGGGATGTAGCTACTCACAGATTTAACCACCATTCGTTTAGTGACCATTCAGTTTACAACGGCACTGAAAACAGTGACTTATGATCAGTGGTGGGATTCAAATACCTGAACAACCAGTTCTCTGCGTGGATGCAGGCTTGGGCCTCCGAGGCCTAGAACGGACTTCCAGAAGTGGCATCCACGCATTTCCGGGGGGCCGTTCTAAGCCTGGGAGGCTTCCTCCAGGCCTCCGAGGCCTAGAACGGACTTCCGGAAGTGGCATCCACGCATCTCCGGTGGGCCGTTCTAAGCCTGGGAGGCTTCCTCCAGGCCTCCGAGGCCTAGAACGGAGTTCTGGAAGCAGCGTGCATTCAGCCGGTTCTCCGAACTCAACAAAATTTAGCTATCGGTTCTGCCGAACGGGTTGAATCCCACCATTGCTTATGACTGTTTTTCACCCTTATGATCATTGTAGCACCTCCATGGTCATGTGATCAGGGTTTAGATGTTTTTAACAACGGATTCATATTTATGACGCTTGCAGGTCACTGTATCGTCTTTACTGACCTTCTGACAAGCAAAGTCAATGGGGAAGCCAGATTCACTTAACAACCGGGTTACTAACTTAACAGTTGCAGGGGTTCACTTAACCAACTGTAGTGAGAAAGGTTGTTTAATGGGACAAATTAACTTAACAACTGTCTCGCTTAGCAACAGACATTTTTGGCTCAATTGTGGTCATAAGTTGAAGAAGGCCTGTATACAGGTCATTAGGTTTATTTAATGCTTCTTAGAAGGATGAAAGTTAATAGCGAAGGCAGGACAAGAAGCAACGGATGGAAGCTAATCAAAGAGAGAAGCAACCTGGAACTAAGGAGAAATTTCCTGACATTTGGAGCAATTAATCAGCGGAACAACCGGCCTCCAGAAGTTGTGAATGCTCCAACACTGGAAGTTTTAAAGAAGAGACTGGACAACCATTTGTCTGAAATGGTATAGGGCAGTGATGGCAAACTTTTTAGAGACCAAGTGCCCAAACTGCAACCCAAAACCCACTTATGCATCGTCGAGTGCCGGGTGGGTGTGGCCAATTGGGTGGGCGTGGCCCATTGGGTGGGCATGGCCGCGGTGGTAATGGCAGACTGGGTGGGACTAAAAAGTTCAATCAATCAATTCCAACTTTGCAAGATCTTTTTTAATTGACTGATTGAACCTTTTTTTTTTTTTTTTTGCACACGGTGGCGGAGGCCTAAAGTGAAAAGGTTTTATAAAACCCAGCTGAAGACCTAAGACTGGGGCGACGGCGCGCGTGCCCACAGAGAGGGCTCTGAGTGCCATCTCTGGCACCCGTGCCATAGGTTCGCCACCACAGGTATAGGGTTTCCCTTCCTGAGCAGGGGGTTGGACTAGAAGACCTCCAAGGTCCCTTCCAACTCTGTTATTCTGTTCTGTTAAAATAAACTTTTAATATTGATTGCAGGAATTACTCTGACAATCGTGTGTTCTTCCTTCCCTCAGGCAACACCAATTTGTTTGTTTGTATGATTAAAAATGGCTGCCCATTCAGAGCAAAGACTCTGGACAGCATTTGATGCTGAATATTTTTTCAGCCTTCTTGCCTTCCTCTAATCCTTGTTTACTTATTTGATTTGATTTATGAAATTTACATCATTGCCTATCCAAAGCAAATGATCTCCAGGCTGCTAAGCTAACAATACAAGACAAAACAAGAAAAATACAGTTAAAGCAGACCGTTATAAATCAATGCCAATTACACAGCAGAAGAGTTAAGGAATCCTTCCACAGGTGAACCCAATGAATACAACACATTGACAATGATATAAACATACCCCTTGGTTGCTCTTCTGAGATTCTGCAGCAAAAAAAGAAAAGAGAAGAAAAATGTATCAGGCGTGAATGTTTTCTGGGAACAATTTAAGATCCTTTATTTCTGTAACCATTTCCCCATAAAAAATTACTGAACGGCATTAATCATTTTCCCCTTAAGTAAAAGTGAATATTTGATACAAACATAGGACTAGTTTTCATTAGAGCAACAACAGAGAAATATGATTAATTATTCCCATAATTAATGAAATTAAACAGTGGAACAACCTGCCTCCAACACTGGAAGTTTTTAAGAAGAGACTGAACAGCCATTTGTCTGAAATGGTATAGGGTTTCCTGCCTGAGCAGGGGGTTGGATTAGATGACCTCCAAGGTCCCTTCCAACTTTATTATTATTATTATTATTAAATAATCCAATAATTTTCAAAATACTTTCCTGACAAATGCTCCATCAAACTCATTTTGATTAGTAGACCTATAGAGGTGGTCCTTGACTTACGACCACAATTGAGCCTTGCGACCTTTCATGCCACAGGGGTTAAGTGAATCACTGCAGTTGTTAAGTTAGGACAGTGATGGCGAACCTTTTAGAGACCGAGTGCCCAAACTGCAACCCAAAACCCACTTATGTATCGTTGGGTGCCGGGCGGGTGTGGCCCATTGGGTGGGCGTGGCCCACTGGGTGGGTGTGGCCCACTGGGTGGGCGTGGCTGCGGTGGTAATGGCAGACTGGGTGGGACTAAAGAGTTCAATCAATCAATTCCAACTTTGCAAGATCTTTTTTTTCCCCGAGAAAAGTTGAAATTGACTGATTGATTGAACCTTTTTTTTTTTTTGCACATGGCGGCAGAGGCCTAAAGCGAAAAGGTTTTATAAAACCCGGCTGAAGGCCTAGGACTGGGGCGACGGCGCGAGTGCCCACAGAGAGGGCTCTGAGTGCCACCTGTGGCACACGTGCCATAGGTTCGCCACCACGGAGTTAGGAACAACACGATTGTTCGTTGAATCTGGCTTCCTCATGGACTTGGCTTGTCAGAAGGCTGCAAAAGGGGATCACGTGACCCCAGAGACACTGCAACCGTCATAAATAGGAGTCAGTGGCCAAGCATCCGAATGTAAATCACGTGACCATGGGGATACTGCAAGAATCAGCTTGACTCTATGTAGGGATTTGAAGTCAGATACAGTTGGCTCAATCAGAGGCCCCCGACCTTTTGGGCACCAGGGACTGGTTCCGTGGAGAGAGGTTTTTCCACGGACCGGAGAGGGCGTGATTTTGTGTGCTGCCTGCATCCTGCAGATGGGGTTTTGCTTGTTTGTGCGGTGTCAACGTTGCTAACATTGGATGTTCTTGCTTTGACAGCATATGAAGATGCAACCTTTTTCTTTCTCATGCTTTACTCTTAGAATTAGATGATGCTGGGGGAGGAGGCGGAATGTGGTGGGAGTTAGTTAGTTAGACAGAACAATATTGTACTAGTGTGTGAAATAAGAGGTGATAAGAATTTGCAGGTAGCAGAACAGGAGGGAAAGCCTGCATTTCAAACTAATTGGGGAATGTGAATTATGACTGTTAATTGGAGGAGGGAATTGTGCTTTGATACTATGTGCTCAGGGGAGGGGAATCCAGATTTTGGCTTCAACTATGTTAGTGCCAAAGCTATGCTACTCCCATATAGATTCTTTAAGGAAAACAATGCCTCAAAGTTCTTTGAAGAGTTTCTTCTGTCGGAACCATGACATGCAGACCGGTTGCTGGCATGCTGCGGTCCGGTACTGGTCCATGGACCCGGGGGGTTGGGGACCCCTGGGCTAAATGATGCCTCTGAAGAATTATTTTGAAGGAGGCATTTTTATAACTAGCCCAGGGTTACAAGTGGACAATCACTTAAATATGAGCTAGCAGTGTGCTGCAGCTGCCAAAAAAGCCAACACAGTGCTAGGCTGTATTAACAGAGGGATAGAATCAAGATCACGTGAAGTGTTAATACCACTTTACAAGGCCTTGGTAAGGCCACACTTGGAATACTGCATCCAGTTTTGGTCACCACGATGTAAAAAAGATGCTGAGACTCTAGAAAGAGTACAGATAAGAGCGACAAAGATGGTCAGGGGATTGGAGGCTAAAACATATAAGGAACGGCTGCTGGAATTGGGTATGTCTAGTTTAAGGAAGAGAAGGACGAGGGGGGACATGATAGCAGTGTTCCAATATCTCAGGGGCTGCCCCAAAGAAGAGGGAGTCAAGCTATTCTCCAAAGCACCTGAAGGCAGGACAAGAAGCAACGGATGGAAACTGATCAAGGAGAGAAGCAACCTAGAACTAAGGAGAAACTTCCTGACAGTGAGAACAATTAACCAGTGGAACAACCTGCCTCCAGAAGCGGTGAATCCTCCAACACTAGAAGTTTTTAAGAAGAGACTGGACAGCCATTTGTCTGAAATGGTGTAGGGTTCCTGCCTGAGCAGGGGGTTGGACTCGATGACCTCCAAGGTCCCTTCCAACTTTATTATTATTATTATTATTATTATTATTATTATTATTATTATTATTACAAGCAGTCCTCAATTTACAATTATTCCTTTAGTGACTGTTCCAAGTTACAACAGCACTGAAAAAAAATGGCGGGGATCAGCAATGGAACTTGCAGCTATGTTGGCTTGCTCTCAGCAAAGAGGTGGAGTAATGTGGTACAGGGTAGTCGTCGACTTACAACGGTTCATTTAGTGACCGTTCAAAGTCACAACGGCACCGAAAAAAGGTGACTTAAGGCTCTTTTTCACACTTACAACCGCGGCGGCATCCGCAGGGTCGCGTGATCAAAATGCAGACGCTTGGCCACTGACTCACATTTACGACGGTTGCAGTGTCGTGAGGTCACACAAACCACCTTCTGATCAGCAAAGTCAATGGGGAAATCAGGTTCACTTGACGACCGTGTGACTAACAACTGCAGTGATTCACTTAACACCTGTGGCGAGAAAGGTCGTAAAATGGGGCAAAACTCACTTTAACAGCTGTCTTGCTTAGTAACGTAAATTTGGGGCTCAACTGTGGTCGTACGTTGAGGACAACCCATGTACGTTGAGAAGCATCAGATGGATCTTTTCAAGTCTGAAATGGTATAGGGTTTTCTGCCTGAGCAGGGGGTTGGACTAGATGACCTCCAAGGTCCCTTCCAACTTTATTATTATTATTATTATTATTATTATTATTATTATTATTATTATTATTATTATTATTATTGAAAATAAAGGAGGCCCCAAAGAATCACATTTCATTTTTCGAAGCGAGGGTCTCAGTCTCCCACCTTGGAGAGGGGCTCCTTTTCTCCTTTCCCCCGGCTGGCTCTGCCATGCCCGTTTCTTGAAAGGTTCTCGTCTCTCCTCGTGATGATCTCCTTCTCCAGCTCTTCCAACTGCCTTAACAAGAGCTCCTCTTGATCCCGGAGAAACCTTTGCAGGTCCTTCCATTCCCAGACAATATTCTCCCGCTCCGATTCCGTTTTTCTCTGCAAGGTCACAACGGCAGAACATTACGTCACCCTAGTCCAGGGGTGGGCCACCTGGGCTCTTTTATGACGCATGGACTTCAACTCCCAGAATTCCTGAGCTGGCCATGCTGAGGGGAAAGGGAGAGGTTTCCAAGCTGAGCCAGGCTGGCTCAGGAATTCTGGGAGTTGAAGTTCACGAGTCATAAAAGAGCCCAGGTGGCCTACCCCTGGCCTAGTCAAACATCCAAAAAGCTGGTCGAGATTCACACTCTCAGCTAGGCTTCCTAGGTTGAGGGAGGGAGGTAAAATAAGCTGAGGGTCCTTAGTGAAGGGGTTCAAAAGAAAAAAGTTCAAAGAAAAAAAAAAGAGAAAGTAACTGCAAGAGGATGCTTCAAATGGCCGTAAACACAGTCTGGTTGCCGAGCACCCGAAATGCAGTCACATGACCAGGCTGTGGAACTGGGTTGTAAGTACTTTGGGAGGGTTAGTGGTCTGCTGTAACTTCAAATGGTTGCTAAGCGACCAGTCATAAGCCAAGGACGACCTGAATAGCGCTACACAAATGAATGATTGTACAACACACTGAATCCGGTCCGAAAATCGTGACCCAGAACAAACAGGATTGTCCCTTCTTACTGCCTTTAAGGCAAGGGTTGCCAACCTTTCTGGGTTAGCGGCCCAGTGGGAAAGGGAGGGGCAGGCACCTTTATGCGCGCATGCGCACACACATGCAAATGTGGCTGCATGCACGTGTGCGTTAACAGGGCCATGAGCATGCATGTTCTGCAAATGGGGCTGCTAGCGCCGGCTCGCGGCTCGGCTAGCTCCCAGCGCGCAGCTTGCGGCTTGGCTAGCACTGGCGCAAGGGGGAGGAGAGCGTGCACATGCGCGCACACAGTGGCCAGCCACTCGTGCAGCCCGGTGGCCAAGAGGCCACGGCCTGGTAGTGGGCCACGGCCTATAGGTTGGGGACCTCTGCTTTAAGGTTTCAAAATCTTTCTGGGTTTGATCTTGAAAGGCTGAAGTCCCCTATCACAGAGGTCCCCAACTTTTTGGGTGCCAGGGACCTGTTCTGCGGAGAGAGGTTTTTCCGCAGACCGGAAGGTGCGTCGTTTTGTGTATCCCGCGGGTAGGGCTTTGCTTGCTTGTGTGGCCCGGTTGCTGGCGTGCTGTGGCACGGTGCCGGTCCACGGACGGGGGGGTTGGGGACCCTTGCCCTAACACAAGGACCTCCTCTTCCTATCTTGGGCCAACTGATACAGGTAGTCCTCAGCTTACAAGGGACATGATTGTTATTCACACTTAAAAAACGTCCTTATTTATGACGGTCGCAGTGTCCCAGGGTTATGTGATCTCCTTTTGCGACCTTCTGACAAGCAAAGTCAAGGGGGAAACCACTTAACAGCCCTGTGACTATCTCAACAACTGCAGCAATTCACTTAACAACTGTGGGTGAGAAAGATCGTAAAATGGGGCAAAGCTCACTTTACAAATGTCTCGCTTAGCAACAGAAACGTTGGACTCAGTTTGTGTCAAACCCCTTTGGGTGGGCCAGAGATCAGGACTGGCAGTCCTCGACTTACGACCGTTTGTTTAGTGAATGTTTAAAGTTACACCAGTCTGAAAAAAGTGACACAGGGCCAGTCCTTGGTCCCTGTCCTGTGACTGCGATTCCCACACTTGGCAAACGGTGTGGACTTAACAACAGTTGCCGTGTCCTGGAGTCACACGACTGCCATTTGCGACCTTTCCAGTGACAAGCACAATCAATGCAAGGAAGTCCCACAGGGAAGGTCGTAAATTGTGATTATGTGACAGTCCCGCTTAACGACTCAATTACGGCGGCCAAAACGAGTTGCTCTTTGAATGAGTTTCTAAATTTGACCTATAAACGAATTAAACAAATTTAAAAGGTTGTTAAAAGGGATGCTTCACTTCATTTAAGGGATGTTTCCCTTAACGACCGTACTGCTTAGCTATGAATTTTCCAGTCCTGCTCGTTTGCGAGTCGAGGACTATCTGTACTGGCCCCTCCAGGCCCCATCTTTTTTTTTTTTTTTTTTTTTAAACTTTTTATTAATTTTCCAATGTTACAATTATATCTTTGAAAAGCAACGTGGTGTCTGAGTTACAATAATTCCATTACATACAAATAGTATTAATACAAATCTCCAACTATTACAGCCAATATTTCCTCTCTTTTTTCCCTTAATACATACTGTCTCTTGTTTAAATTAGTATACTTCTTATTCTATCCATCAGCTACTTAATAGCTTTCTTACATTTAGCAATAATTGTATATGTCTTATTTATTTTAACATTCCATCTTTTGGACCATCAATAACCTTATGAATTTTCCCAGCTTTAATTTTGCGTTGATATTTAAATTAAACGTTTAATATTTATCATTTCCAAATTTTTAAATGACCCCAGTTCCCTTTGTCACAATTTTCCCCAACATCTAGTGTTCTGGATACCTATCTTATCTATCTCACTTCTGTATCAACATGGCTATTCTATGACCCCCAAATTGGTTTTTATCCACCTCATAGCAAATTTTGGACCAACGGGCATTTCTCAGGGCAGCGAGAAGGGTGTAAAAATTCAAAGGAGATAAAAACTCACAACGCTGCCATCAGTCTTACCAGCAAATCCTCACTTTTCCTTAAATAAGGGAGTTTCATTTTTCCGCTCTTTTTCACATTATCTTGCAGCACTTGAAGATCTGGGACGAAACGTGAAAAGATTAAAAGATCTTTTGCACACTCCAACTGAATTCTGTTCTTAAAAACAATTATTTTAAAAGGAAACCCTGAATCTTAGCTTGTGAAGAATTAAATATCAACCCGGGGGACCTCTTTCAGGGTCTTTACTCCATTTGGTATATAAGATATTAAAATATCCAGGTTTGTGTGGATAATGCCTGCAACTCAACAAGCCATTTGAAGACTGCTTTTTGCTTGCAGCTGACACGCAACGTGCTCCAGCAATCTATTTTTGTTTTGCCATATCCCTATAACAGAATAACAGAGTTGGAAGGGACCTTGGAGGTCTTCTAGTCCAACCCCCTGCTCAGACAGGAAATCCTATACCATTCCAGACAAATGGCTGTCCAGTCTCTTCTTAAAAGCTTCCACTGATGGAGCACCCACAGCTTCTGGAAGCAACTCACTTTCACTAACTCTAACTTCAGGAAATTTCAGACATTTCTCGTAATTTCTAGGTTGCTTCTCTCCTTGATTAGTTTCCATCCATTCCTCCTTGTCCTGCCTTCAGGCGCTTTGGAGAATAGTTTCACTTCTTTGTGGCAGTCCCTTAAATATGGGAACACTGCTATCATGTCGCCACCAGTCTTTCTTTTCATTAAACTAGACATATCCAATTCCAGCAACTGTTCCTTATATGTTTTAGCCACCAGACCTCTAACCATCTTTGCTGCTTTTCTCTGTACTCTTTCTAGAGTCTCAGCATCTTTTTTACATCGTGGTGACCAAAACTGGATGCAGTATTCCAAGTGTGGCCTTACCAAGGCATTGTAAAGTGGTATTAACACTTCATGTGATCTTGATTCTATCCCTCTGTTAATGCAGCCTAGGATTGTGTTGGCTTTTTTGGCTATGATGTCTGGTCTCCAGAGGCAGCCTTAAGTTCTCTTTCACTGTTGCAGTGTTAAAATAAAGATTTCCCCTTTTACTGGGCAATTCTTTTGCTGTCAATACTGTACAATCTAACTTGCTTGATCAATCTTGAAACTAATCAAGGAGAGAAGCAACCTAGAACTAAGGAGAAACTTCCTGACAGTGAGAACAATTAACCAGTGAAACAACCTGCCTCCAGAAGCAGTGAATGCTCCAACACTGGAAGTTTTTAAGAAGAGACTGGACAGCCGTTTGTCCGAAATGGTATAGGGCAGGCATGTCAAACTCGCGACGTCACGTGACGTCGTGCGACGTATCGGAGCTTTTTCTCCATTGCCGGCAATGGGGTGGGTGCGGTTTTGGGATGACACGTCTGGCCCATGGGCCAGCAGTTTGACACCCCTGGGATAGGGTTTCCTGCCTGAGCAGGGGGTTGGACTAGATGACCTCCAAGGTCCCTTCCAACTTTTATTATTATTATTATTATTATTATTATTATTATTATTATTATTATTATTATTATTATTATTATTATTATTATCATTATTAATAGTAATAATAATAATCAGTGTGGCGATGAGAGTGGTCAGGTGATTCCTGGGAGGAACTGGAATCAACTGATCGGACTTAAATAGAAGCAGCTCATTCCTTCTGCTCTGGTGCCTTGGATCATGCCCCCCTGACTATTTTGCTTGAACAATGGAAGACACAGAAAACAGTGATGATTTTGCCTCCCTTAAAAAATGGGGTTTCGGATTCTACTTTTCAGAAATTTGCCAGGAAGTCTCAAGATGCTACTCCAGCCCCCACCCCATTTCTTTTCCTCTCCTGGACCACATTTTTCCCCCAGAGTCACAGTGCTATGAAATACCTGTAAAGGAGACGAAGATATGGAGATCAAGAGCTGTAAAATTCAAGAGGTGAAGTTGAGATCAAGGGAAGATGAATCACTGTTAGAAAAAAAGAAAAAGAAAGTCAATATATGTGTCTCAGGATAATCTTGCAGTATCCAATCTGAGTTGGTTGGTCACCGGGACCAAAGGTTTATTCTTCCAAGCTTTCAGTGTTAAGAACACAGGATGAATTCCTGCTAAATCTAGATAAAGGCCAAATTAATCCTGCTTCCCTTTTTCTGCAGGATCCAATCTGAGTCGGTCACGAAAGGTTTATCCTTCCAAGCTTTTGGGCTTGTGCTGTAGCCCATCATCAGGGAACTTTCGCTCTCCAGAATAAGCACTCTGGGCGGTTCTACGCGTTGTATTTATATAGATCCCGGTTGTGTATAGCTTTTAGTTGTTGATTAGGGTGTAAACCAGACATGTCAAACACATGTGGTTTCATGTGGCCCCGCGAAGCCATCCTGGAAAGAGTGAGGGAACGGCCCCCGCTGCCTTGACTCTGGCCCAGGCCGGCTGGGAGCCAATGTACAATTTTGTGGTGGCCATCTGTGCTGAAATGCATTCAGTCTTAGCTCCACAAGGCCGTCTGGAAACAGTGAGGAACCAGCCTCTGCCGCGTCGGCCCCATCCCCTGGGTGCATGCTGGGGAGGTGTCACCCTTTGTGAGGAATGAAGAAATGCACCATCGCCTGGAAGTGGCCAGCAAATGGCCCTCGCCTACTTCACATATCCGGCTTGATGGGCTCTGGGGGAGGGGTTTCGGCAGGCTCTTCCAGTGGACCACGCCTTGGCGCTTGCCCTGGTCCCACCCCCTTCTGCCAGAGACCCTCACATCTGTCCCACTCCTGCCCAGGCCCCTACAGGCACCCTTGACACGAATGATGTAGAGCTGGCCATGCCCACCCAATAGGCCACACCCACTCCATCCACGCCCACCCAGTAGGCCACACCCACCCCAGGGCAACCGCAATGCTGATGTGACCCTCAATGAAACTGAGTTTGACACCCCTGGTGTAGACGAATGCGTAGAACAGCCCACTGCGCATATTCTGGAGACAGAGAAGTTCCCTGATGATGAACTCTAGCCCAAGCCCAAAAGCTTGGAAGAATAAACGTTTGGTGATCGACTCAGATTGGATCCTGCAGAAAAAAGAAAAAAAGGATTAGTTTGGCTTTTCTCCAGATTTAGCAGGGATTCGTCCTGTGTCATTAACTCACCAAATAGACGAGGAGCTGGCTTTTTCTTTTAAACGTTGCCCTAGAAAGCAAGGGCTCACACCTGGTGTGCCACGCCCAATGAAACACACACCGAGGTGGAGATTGCAAAGAATTTATTCTGCGCAGGAAAAGGACACAGGGGGATCACTCCCAATAGACCTTTCCCCCAAAACAGGCCTCCCAAAAGGCCTTTCCACAAAGAAGAGGGAGTCAAGCTATTCTTCAAAGCATCTGAGGGCAGGACAAGAAACAACGGATGGAAACTAACCAAGGAGAGAAGCAACCTAGAACTGAGGAGAAATTTCCTGACAGAACAATTCATCAGTGGAACAACCTGCCTCCAGAAGTTGGGAATGCTCCAACACTGGAAGTTTTTAAGAAGATAAATGGACAACCATTTGTCTGAAATGGTACAGGTTTTCCTGCCTGAGCAGGGGGTCGGACTAGAACAGGGCTTTTCAACTTTTGCACAGATTGTACCACTTTTAGAACATGACAATATTTGAGTACCAATGCTTAGCAAGATAAAAACTTGATGATTAAAAAAAAGGGAGGGATTTTGGGTTTTACTGGTTAGATTCATTTGTTGTTGTAGAAATGGCTAGTTTATAATATTATGGAAAAGTAAAAAGTTGAGGTTCAATGTTAATGCTTCCTCCTACCGCAACAGAGGAAGTCAGAAGTCAATGCCTTTTCTTTTATTTTTCCCTTCCCCCCCTCACTTTTTTCCCCTTTTTCCTCCCCACTGTGTCCTACTATTTGCTTTTGTATTTTTAGTATTTTATTCTACAATCTAATAAAATGTTACAAACTGTAAAAAAAAACGGAAAAAAGTAATTTTTTCGATGGCGGTTCCTTTGCTGAATTTCTCTTTACACTGACAAATGTATGATGAATTTCTCAATATTTATTAATATGCACCACTACCTTAATGGTCAGGTGGCTGGTCGGCCCTGCTTCCTCTCTCTTTCTCCTCACCCTTCGCTTGCAAAAGACCCTCTCTCACACAGACACCTCCCCAAAAGCCTTGCCTCTCTGCCTCACACACACCTGCCTAAAAGCCTTTCCTCTCTGCCTCTCACACACACACCTGCCCAAAAGCCTTTCCTCTCTGCCTCTCACACTACCCAAAAGCTTTTCCTCTCTGCCTCACACATACACACACCTGCCCAAAAGCCTTTCCTCTCTGCCTCACACACACCTGCCCCAAAGCCTTTCCTCTCAGCCTCACACACACACCTGCCCAAAAGCCTTTCTTCTCTGCCTCTCACACTACCCCAAAGCCTTTCCTCTCTGCCTCACATACACATGCCCCAAAGCCTTTCTTCTCTGCCTCTCACACGACCCCAAAGCCTTTCCTCTCTGCCTCACACATACACCTGCCCCAAAGCCTTTCCTCTCTGCCTCACACACCTGCCTAAAAGCCTTTCCTCTCTGCCTCACACATACCTGCCTAAAAGCCTTTCCTCTCTGCCTCTCACACACACACCTGCCCAAAAGCCTTTCCTCTCTGCCTCTCACACTACCCAAAAGCCTTTCCTCTCTGCCTCACACATACACACACCTGCCCAAAAGCCTTTCCTCTCTGCCTCACACACACCTGCCCCAAAGCCTTTCCTCTC